CTTTGAGTGAGTGCCACCGCTCATGGATAACCTCGAGTTCATCATTGGTCTTCCCATTTTTCCTGCCAGTGTTGGTGTGATGAACTGGAAAAAATGAAATGCCAAAAACACTTCTTCTGTTTTGAAAAGCACATTTTTATAGCCGCCGTGGCTCGATGAACTCATAGAGCCACACGCGATGAGGAAGCAAGTCGGTGAAGATGTACTGCACCTTGCCAAACAAAGCCATCCAACCAAAAGAAGAGAGGCGAGCCGTCAAAGAAGGCGAGCCGTCAAAGAAGGTTGAGGCAAAAAAAGCTGCAGATGAACATTTTGTCAACAAGAATGTGGCCGCACCATGGCCATGTGAACTTCTGCGCGTTCACCACACACCACCACCTTTTTTTCCACGCGCGTGTCCCCAGGCGTGTTTCTTGGCGCAGGGCGAGCCTCTGCCTTCTAAGCGGAGACATGCTCCAGTAGGTTTGCCCAGGCCGCTGTCGGCTCAGATGCTTTCCATGAGAATGCCTTGTCTTTCTTCTCGCCATCTCGTTTTGCCCTGAAATTGAACGATTTTGGGCACACGTAGATGGTGAACCCACTATGGTGAATGGGTTTCTGAGCTTTGGTGCCTGGGAAAGGCAAAGTGCACTCACCGCTGGTTGGCTTGGGGCTGGTCGTTGGCTTTTTGCTCTTGGCCTTTGCGGCCTTCTTCGTGGTCTTCTTGGCCACTTTGGCCTTCTGTGTGGAAGCTTCAGGCTCCTGACTGTCAGCAAGGCGCTTGCCGGAACCCTTGTTGTGTTGGAGCTGTGCCCTCACAGAAGCGGCCATGGCGTCCACCGTTTTGGGCGGTGTGACTTCCACAGGTATGGTCTCCTTGACTTGTGGAGTGTCCTCCAATTTTGGTTTGGCAGGCTCTGGGCTTGGACTTGGAGCTGGGCTAGCCTCGACTTCTGCTGGTCCATTCATGATGGCCAAGGGCTGCTTCCTTTTGTTGGTAAGATAGGTCAAACCAAGCTGTTTTCGAGGCGCCTGGCCGGCCAACATCTGCTCCAACATACTCAGAACCTGCGACCCCACATTGCCAGTGCAAGTGGGAGAAGGAGCATGCCGAGTGCCTCGAACCACCGTCCTTGTATTCCGGGCTGGTAGGTCAGCGGTCAAGGCCTTCAAGGCCCATTCATCCAATGGATTTTTCACAGGTACCTGGCCAGCGGGGTAAGCAGCCTTGAAAAGAGCTTCTGGGAGTTCTTGGGGACAAGGAGGGTACAGCAAGAGTTCACTTCTCTTGCGGCTCTTCGAGCAATTCTTCACTGCAGACTTGAAGTCCTGAAGCATATGGTATACCTTCATCCCATCAACTGTGAGATTCTCTGGCGCACCTTGGTGGGAAGCCAGCAACAGGAGTGATATCGCCAAAACACTTGTGAGCTCTGAAGGGCAAGTAAGGCCCAAGGCCACAAAACGCTTGCAAAGAGCCAAGATCTTGACATTGCAGCCCTGCTTTCCTTGAAGAATCTCCCACTCCTCTGCAGTGAGGTAGTGTTGCAAATGCAAATTTTTCTGCAAGGCGTTGTGGGCAACTTTCTTCACAGGGCCTGAGCCGTTCACACTTCCATTTGCAACCTTTTGTTGCACACATTCGACAATGCCATCCTTCATCCACACAGGAATTTCAGCTGCTTGGACATCCCGGAGTATGCTGGTGGCATCTGGCATTGATAGATTCAAATCCTTGAGATCTACGAGGCAGCTCTCCAAAATCTTTCTGTGGGCCTCCTGAAAGGAACTGCTACCATCGGCTGCTACAGCTTTCAAAGTGGCCAAGAAAGCCAGCATGTCTTTCATTCGCTGGGCTGCCATGAGTGAGGGCCTCAAGACTTCAAGGGGTAACTTCTTGAGTGCAAACCAGGCGAGCCTTGGTTGGGTGAAGTGTGAGCCACAGAATTGAGGATGTGCAAAATTGAGGATGTGCGAACTGTCGAAGTCAAATGGTTCAAGACTATATAGTGAAGCCACCCTGACCATGGAAAAACTGGTGGAAAAGGTTCTGGGATCAAAGTTGGGACCCTATAGAACCCTACGTTGACTGAACCGAATACTGCCCAGCACAGCACTCAAGACCTTTTTCATGACAGAAAGTCTGGCTACGCAGTTTGGACATGTATCGAGGCGAGCCTCCAAAACTCCATGAGCAAATCCTTGGGCTGAAGATCCTCAGTTCACGAGGAAGACGATGACAAAAACCGGTACTTGTAGTACTGGCGGCGCTGAATCGGTGTTTTCTTCCTGGACGCTTTCTTCACCGTTTTGCTGCTTCCTTTGGCTGGTTTCTTCTTTGGCGCTTTCTTGGCGGCCTTGGCTTTGGCCGCTGGTCGTTTCATGGCCTTTGTCTGGGGCGAGCCTCCAGAACATCCTTGAGAGCACTCGTCCATGTACACCTCGAAGTTGTGGCAGGCGTCAGCCACTGCTTGGTCCAGCAAGGATCCCACCACCTTCGTTTTCTGGGGGATCCTCCCTGCCAACTGGTGAAGGACGCCATGCAGAACTGCCATCATGAGCGGAACAGGGTAAGCATTACCGCTGGCCTTCACCCTCAAGGTATCGCTGGACCCTTCCAGAACACTGGGCGAAAACCCTTGCAGAAACATCCTCTCCGAAGGGTGCAGAAACTTCAGGAACTTCCGTTGGCCATTTGGACGGGAGAAGTCCAGCGAAACCACGAACAAGTACGTGTTGTTTGTGGTCAAAGTAGGGACCAAATTGGTGGTGTAGCTCCTCTTGTACGCCTTTCCATCTGCGCGGTCAAGAGGGAAGACGACCAGGTCTGCTGCGTCCAAGTGGCCATCTTGAAGCATTGCCTTCAAATGAGCCTGTGCATCTTTGAGGTTTTTTTGCATGACCTCAGTCAATGTCTCCAACTTGCAGTTGGGCAAATCTGGGCTGAGGAACTCCTGGAGTTGGCGGCTGCCAAAGGGAGTCAGTGGAGCTGGAATGCCAGCCGGGAAGTCACTCTTCCGAACACCTCGTAGGAACACCCTGGTTCTCTGCTGGGCAAGCAAGTATGAAGAAGCCTGCAAGGTGTGAACTCCCCACTGGAACTCAGCACACTCCTGTCGGAGGATGTGCAAGATTTGGTCCATGAAGGAACAGGTGGAACCTTTGATTTTGGCCAAGATTCCTTTGACGTTCTCTATGCAGCAGGCATGCAAATCCCCGACCTTGATTAAGGCAATGCAAACCTTCATCACAACGATGAACACATCAGCTCGGTGGTCATGCTGGCCCTTGTGATTTCCTTGGCCTGCCCAGGGTGGACATGGTGGTCCACTCACAAGCAAGTCGACAGGCCTCTCGACATCAGAGAGTTGAACCTGACAAAGGTCGCCATCCTTCTTGCCCAGGTGCAACTGCACATTTCCACCTAGGTGCTGTGTGAGGTAGGCCTGGTACCGGTGCTCTAAGTCATAGACATTGTTTGCCTGATACCTGACGCCAAGCGCGTCCAAGGCAGTGCCGCACCCATCGATGCCAATGCATGGAGTTGCGACATACAAGGGCCGTTTAAACGCTGGAAGGGCCGGACACAAGCCCTCCCATGCGTTTGGATCCAAAGTGGTCCTGATAATCCTCTTTGGTGCCATTGTTGGGCGAGCCTCAACTACAGTGGCTTGGTCCAAAGCAGCTACAGGCTGTCGGAGTCGGGGTGAAAAATTTGTTTCAAACTTTGTTTCAAACCACAGCAAACAAAATTGTAATGGTGGGCCCCTTTTTTGATGATGTTTAACTACCAAGTAGTTTATGAACCCAAATACCCTGTATGGCTAAATTGGGTGTTGTGAAGCACTTGCTTCAGTGCTCCTGTGGGCATGCAAGGCAGCCTTTATAGTACCACCAAAGGTGAAATGAAACCAAAACAAAGGCCCTCTTCGGCAGAATGTTCATGGCTGAGGCTCGCCCAGCAACCATGAAGTGTGGAGGCTCGCCCTAAAAGACTTGAGACCTAATATTATATCACATCTCAAGAATATATATAGTGAACTTCAGACAGATAGAATATTAAGGTGCATTAGGTAACGCATAGAATAATTTTTAGAAGCCAACAGATAGAATTGTTCAGTTTTTTGAAGCCAGCAGATAGAATATTCAGCATACCTCAGATTCACTGCGCTACCTTTTCCCACCCATGACATGTGTTTCTTCAACTTTTCATCCAAACCTATCCAACCAATATTCTAAGTGTTTCCCCAAAAAGATATAGAATAATGACCTAATGCCCCGGGGGCATTAGGTAATATTCTAAGTGACTGCAGGCCACTATACTACAACCAACACCCAAATTAAAAAAAAACAACTGATTGATGATAATGGAGGTATTCAATGAGGCACTTGGTCCATCAAGAAACATACCGTGTTGTTCATGACTAGTTGGAAGTCTAGTGGGGAGAAACTTCATCTATAGATCGTGGAGATAAAACAGTGACCAACCGTCTTATAACACTGATCGTCCCTGATAGTTTCCTGATACCCCCTGATACACTGATTGTCCCTGATAGTTGTCCGATACCCCTGATACCCCCCTGATACCCCCCTGATACGCCCCTGATACGCCCCTGATACGCCCCTGATACGCCCCTGATATGCCCCTGATACGCCCCTGATACGCCATATTACTATTAATAATAACAATGCATTTTTTTGATGACGAGTTCATTGTAATTCAGTATTTGTAACAAAGATGTTC